AAGCGCGGCGAGGATATTGATTAAAACATCGTCGGGTAGCTTGTCGAGCAAGCAGCTGAGGCTATTAGTACTAGCAGCAGTGCTTGTAACAATACAGTCACCGTTGCTGCTCCTGGGGGATTCCGCGTCTGTCTCCTCGATCCTGTCTTCGTCAGCAGCGGCAGCAGCGGCGGCGGCGGAAGCCTCGGCGGCGGCGGAAGCCTCGGCGGTCGTCGTCGCGGAGAGCAGCGACATCCGCGGCTGGAACTTAATGGTGCGGAAGCACGCCTCGAGGGAATGGCGGCGCGGTTGTAGAAGCAAACGTGAAGCGGCGGCGGCAGCGGAGCCATCGGAGTTTGCGGCTACCGTTCCCGACTCGTAATCAGAGTCCGTCACGGTCGCAATGGCGGCTGTAGCGCCTCCGTCGCTGGTGACAGCGGCATGATTCCCACGTAGCCGCCTCGCTGCGGCCAGCTTTACGTAATCCTCCTGCGTCAGGCCCTTCGCGCGGAAAACTTGCTGACAAAGCCGCGCGTTGAGGATCGCGGCGGGTCGCTCTGCTGCGTCCACCGCGCTACGGCGCGTAGTGACAGAATTTGACGAAGATTCATGAAATGTGGCCATGACGTAGTGAACTCTTCGGTGATGTCACGACAACGAAGTAACGGGGAGGCGGAATAGGAGGCGGAGCTATACTTGATTCAACGTGTCGAGCTGCAGCAGATGAACTTAGCTCCCACTCGAGGTATTAGTAGTGATAAAAGCTCCTAGCAATGGTATCGCTCACAGCTGCTGCTACTAGTACAGTAGTGTTTCTTGTCAAGAGTCGTCTGGCTGCCCTCTGTTCGTGAACGTGTTCGTGCGGGTAAGTCAGCTATATCATCTGTTTCAGATGATTCGATCGCATGCAAGTACAATACGAAGTCGCATTGGGAACAACGCGGAAACTAATATATGTGTACACTTGGTGAGGCACTGGACTACAGTGAGCATTACTGAATAGTACAGTTGATTCATCCCAACCCAACCAACCAACCCAACGCAACTTTGGCCAGATTGGTTGAATCCGGCCCGCAAGTTGAGACCGTGTGATTCCTCTGTGTGAACGAAAGGGTGTCGTGTCCTTGTGCTGAGTTGGACGCCGGCGCCAAGGCAGGCTCAATGAGGCGCTTTGTGCGGCTCTTCCGGTCTCTCTCATTCGAGAGAATTTCTCCAGACCCCGAAACGGTGATTTAACGTTGCACACGTGGCCTCGAATCGCTCCCGTGGTCGGAAAATTCGATGATAATTGCTCGAGTGGTCTTTGCCAGAGGTTTCCTCTGGCATTTTTTAATCCGGTACATTACCCAAAGCCGGTTTTTAGCCCTGAGATTCTTACTTTGAACGTGTCTCTTCCCACAAAAGGGTGGCGTACCCGGAAAGACGTGCACGAGGGCGACAACGTCACTATTCGGATACGCGACAAAAATCAGCACACTCATCTAGGCAAACAGTTGCGCTCAATTTCGATCCATATCGTAACCAATCCGCGTATGGTTATATGATTCTACGATCATATATTCAGTTGGACGGATGTCAGTACGCGCGACCAATTACAGAGTGCGCCTGATTGGTCGACTTTATGCGCGAGGCCTTTTCTGACCTTGCACGTCCAATCAAACGCGGTCATGTAAGATCGCGCTCATATAAAACCGCATATTTACCTATATGAGCGCGCATATGTGATGCTCGAATGTGTGTATGATCTATTTTATTAATCTAAAACTATATTAATAAATTTGAGAGACATTATTACTGCCGACATTTTGCCATTATACCTATATCACGCTGTGCGATATAGATATGCACAACTTGATATAGGTATAATGACAAAACGCTGGTAGTGATAACGTCTCTCAAATTTATTAACATAGTTTTATATTAATAAAACAGATCACACACACATTCGAGCATCACATATGCGCGCTCATACAGGTAAATATGCGATTTTATATGAACACAATTTTACATGACCGCGTCTGATTGGACGCTCAAGGTCAGAAAAGGCCCCACGCATAAAGTCGACCAATCAAGTGCACTCTGTAATTGGTCGCGCGTACTGACATCTGTGCAACTGAGTATATGATCCGGGAATCATATAACTATGCGCGGATTGGTTACGATATGGACCGAAATTGAGCGCAACTGTTTGCCTAGATTACCGTGCCGATTTTGTCGCGTATCCTAACAGTGACGGCGCCGCCCTCGTGCACGTCTTTCCGGGTGCGTCACACTTTTGCAGGAAGAGACAAGTTCGACATAAGAATTTCAGGGCTAAAAACCGGTTTTGGGTAATGTGCCGGATAAAAAAAATGCCAGAGGAAACCTCTGGCAAGACCACTCGAGCAATTATCATCGATTTGTCCGACTACGGTAGCAATTCAAGGCTACGTGTGCAACGGCAAATCACCGTTTCCGGGTCTGGAGAAATTCTCTCCTCTCACTCACACACACTGCACGCCGAACCATCCAAGCATCTCGCATTGTGCGAGTATGTTGCGTTGTGGTGCTTTGCCTGGGCCCAATAGGGCGAATGCAGGCTTTACGTTGCCCGAAAAGACGGCTGTCCTTGCTCTGTGGTGTGGTGGATGTTGCTGGTCTGGTCTGTATCTCTCTGGGGGAGAGGGGGTTGTTGAACAGTGATTGGTACAAGCGCAGGTCGGTGCGTGTCATACTCTGGGAGCCCAAGGCAGAAGTGATGGCAAGTGTACAGTAGTGGAGCACATGGATGGAGGGAAACCTGACTTGTTTTGAGGTCCTTACCTTCATAGAATCTAAATCTAATCTGGTGGGAAATTGAGCGGAACTTGTAGCCATTGATGGACACTTGCATTGCCTCCCGGATTTCGTGTTCCAGACCGAAGAGCATGGACTGTACAAGACAGGCAAGTGGTATATAAAAAAATAATGGTTATCGCGGTGAAACCCCTGACACGGTGGAGAAGTTTCGAACTCCGGGAAAATAGATTGACGCTCTTCTTGACTCTCTGTACACTCCCTCCACCCCAATTGGTTACGACAAGAAATATACCTTTAACTTTAACTCCCTCCACCCCAAACCACTCAGCCTGTCCTTCCCGCCACCTCGTTGGACCAAAAAGAGATGGGAATCTTGTGCCATCGAGTTCGAAGACCAAACCCACTGTAGTGCACTGTAGTGGGATGCACATGTAAAGAACAGTGTTGAATACAATACCAGCGCGGATGTAAGTGGAGCCACTCACCTCATCCGGCTTCGGGCAGCGATGGGTCTCGTCGCGTCCACGTTGTGATGCCTCAGAAAAGCGGGCAAGAAGAACGGACATGCAAACCAAATGACCTGCCTCCATTTGTGCTACTCTGAGGTCACCACAAAAAGCCTCTGGACCCTGCTGGGAGCATGTCGCAGGAAAAGGTGTGCGGTGCAATGAACAGCCACAAAAGAGCAAACCAGCAAAGGGGGAGGGAGGATACAGTAGTATTTGCTAGCTGTCTGACGTTATTGCAGCAAATCTTTTCGAGATTGACCGTGAACAGAGAAGTATATCTCCAGTTGCCAAGTGTAAACCCAATCATTCGTTTATCTCACCAAACGCGTTTCGGTCGGAGATGCTTGTCATTTTTGCTCGGTGCTTTTAACGTCTGCGAGTCACATTTCCCTGCGTATTGCCGTCCCTTGCTCCCAAAATGTGGCTATAAATACGTTTTTGCAACTGTAGGCCGGCCTGAACTGGTCATAACTAATAAATTTGGCATCGTCTTTAGCGCAAATGCGTGTAACTGTAGTGCTCTGCCACCAATTTTCTTCAACGTTTAGTAGTTTAATGCTGAACTGATCACGCGTGTGAATCGATTCTATGTGACATAAACGCATCGCTCCCAACCTTCTATGTGAACGTACCGAGCTGGTGGCACAAACGCGGGTGCATCAAACGAATAGGTGGGTGTAGTTACCCGGACGCTTTTTGTGACCGCAACGCACCAAAGAAGATACTATCAAATGTACATTTCTACCCAAGGTGGGGAAGAAAGTTGTGTTACGTTGTAGATAGCGATGTCTTGGTCTGTAAAGGGATCAGGGGTTTTAGCGTCGGTGAACATGTGTTACCTCGAGTGGCTTCACCCGTAAGGCTTGGGTGTAACCTGTACTTCCGTCGGTACAGTAAGAAGGTCGTGCGAAAGGGTGTACACTATTTTGCAGCAACGAAAAACTTCCACGCCAATGCAATCTGAGGAGCGGTGTATGCGTGGCATTTCTGTTGGTCTACGGCAATTCAGCCGTGACAAATGAGAGCGCGCGAGCCCCAAGATGAAGGGGCGAGGTGGTGAAGCTAATTCGCAGTCATAAATGCAGCATTGAATGCTCACCAAATCCTGACACAGAACCGTGATACTGTATCCAGACTTAGACTCGCTTTGGGACTACTGTATGTGTGAGGAATTTCCCTTTCCTGCCAGAATCCTGCCAGTCCGCAGGTTCAGGGCGGACCAGCCAACTATGAAATAGCCTTGGACCCGAAGGCACTCGCCCATGCATCAACATGGAACCTCTTGTTACGAATAGGAAAATGCGAGAGAAAAAAATCGATTGTGCATTCATGCCAGCAGCAATAAATGGGCATGCAGAAGAGAGTACGAAGGTGAAATGTCCAAGTAACACAAAGAGTCGCGTACAGTTAGGCAGCATCTAGACCGTCGGAACGGAAGCATCGGGCAGCTGCAGGAGCGAGGATTTTGGCAGGAACATTTGTTGCGATCAAAAATTGATCTTGCCTAGGATCACCTCGGAAAGGTTCGCACACCACTGGTTTAGTTGACCGCAAAAGCTAGCGTTTTTTATTTTGACCACACTCAGATACTTACGGCATGACGCGACGGTGACATGACAAGAGCTACAAAAACATCAAACGCTACACCCTTAAAAAACCCCATCAAAATACCCAAACCGAACACCCAGTCAGGACACCCTATCAATACACCCCATCCCACACCCCATTTCACATTTACGCATCCACCATATACGGGGCCTCCACCCAAAGAGCCCCACCCTCCTTCTCGATGTCGTCCTTCTCCCGATCCACCAAGTCCACATTCATCCCCCCCATAGAAGACGCAGCTCGAAGCAGAATGACACGAGCTTGCGCCCGTTGTAACGCTACCCCAATGAGCGCCTTCAGAGACCCCAAAAGATAAGCCGAAAACGAAAAGTCATCCTCCCAACAAGCCCCCCGTGACACGGCTAGCCTCACGTGTGCATCCCCCTGTCGTCGAAGCCACCGCCGGAAACGCCCGCCGACACACCCCCACGTCTCTACTATCAAAGGGGTGAACTGCAAGCCCCGGTTGCGTGCAAGCAGAGGCGCGTAATCACTCGTTTTGCGACGCTCCCACTCCCTTGCCGCCACACCAATAGAACGACTGCACTGTCCTAGCAGAGATGGAGACAGAGATAGCGGGTCCGCGACGCTGATCTCTAGAGCGTGAGCCTCCCCGGCCATTGGTCGTCGCACCGCCACGCCAACCCGCTTCTCCGGCAGCACCACGCTATCCTCCATCGTCACCACCCCCCCTGACGCCTTAGAGATCCTCGCCACTGCAAATTTCACCTCATCATGCACCCGAGATGGACCGTGCTGATGCTTGCATCTCAAGACATGATGCGGGTGTTAACGGGAATGGAGTGTTGGCCCCGCCCTCGCTTGGGCAACGCCGACGACTTGGTCGGATGCACGGGAGTAGCAGCCGACTGTTCACAGTGGGATAGCTGCTCGACAGGTTACGTCGAGCGGCAGCGGACCGCTGTGGTGTTGCTGTCGACCAGGATGCTCGACAGCTGCAACTGAATGGCCTGGGCGACGGGTGAGCCGTCCGGGAGGTCGACGAAGCAGTCCGTCGACCTACAATTCGACGGGGAGGTCTACGGAGCATCCCGTCGAACTGCAGTTCGACCGGGAGGTCGACGGAGCAGTTCTGGTCGACGGAAGGGGTCCGTCGACCAAGGGGTAGCTCGACGGGAGGTGTGGTCGACCAGGAGCATCCGGTGGTCGACCAGAGAGACCCAGTGGTCGACGGGAGGCGCCTGGGAGTCGACCAGAGCACCAGGGGTCGACCAGGTCGACCGGGTAACCTGCTCGACGAGTTATGCGGAGGCACGCGAATGCCGTCGAGATCGCGATGGCGCAGGCGACTTCGGACTGGTATCCCGAAGTCGATGTGGCTCGTCAGGCGCAGACAACAGCCGACGGATGCCCAACGAGGCAAGTCGGACCAATCGTCTGCGCACACCTGCGAGCGCGCGCACTGCTATGTTCTACGGGGCACGCCGTCGACCTGCTTTGTTGGCAGGTCGCCCTTCTGCAGTGCTGGCGCGGCTCCTCTACGCAATGCTGGCAGGCGGTCGACCGAGCTGCGCTGGCAGTCGACCAAGCTAGCTGCAGGGTTGCTAGGTGCCTGATGTAGTCATTGTTGTCATTGCTTCTTTTATTCAATTCTGGAATTCCAACTTTGCTAGTGAAAACTCTTGCCAAATTCTTTCGTGAATGTGCAAACACTAAGGAACTAAGCAAAGCTAAGATCACCTCTAGTAGTTCGTGCCAACCCCTGTAGTCTAGCTCACTACCGTTGTAGAGTTAATCTCCACATGGTGCGGTGAGCGTGGATCGAACACGCGACCTTCAGATAGGAGCCGACTTTTGCACCTACTAAGTCGTTCGTAGGCCGGCAGCAGCGATAGTCGCCATGGTCGACCCCGTAGTTGATACGGGTGTAGCGGACACTTTGGAGGCACGTTTGGCTGACGCGAGGAGACGCCACGCGAATGGCGAGTACGGGACGATCCCCTTAGTGATCGCCGAGTTGGGCATCCGGTCGCAGTGGGCGACGGAACACCCTTCCCGTCCTGCTTCTCCTCGACCGGTGCGCAACGAAGGTGGCGTCGACGACGAGGTCGACGGTGGTGCACGAGTCAGCGGCAGTGAAGGCACGAGGCATAGAGGAGTGATCAAGGTCGACGGTGGTGTCGACGGAATCCAGGCGCGAGTGCAGCGGTCGACGGCGGCTGCAGGCAGCTCGCACGCCGACGTCGATGTTCGACGTCGCTCTCCTCTACGAAGTGGTGGCGGGCTCTCGGCGACGACGCATGTGACTGCGGGCGGGATTGCACCGGCGTATGGCTACTTCAAGTTTTCGCCGGATCGGATCACCGTCGCTCCGCTGCAAGGTCGACGGGACCTCATCACCTGGAGGGAGTCGATCGAACCTCAGCTGGAGGTCGCCGGGCTGAAGGGCTTCGCCGACGGCACTGTGCCAAGTGCGGTTGAGTCGTTGGGGGACTTCGCCTGAAAGGCACTTTTCGAAGTTGCCGGGCAAGAAACACAGCGGCAAGGATGCCTAGGACCCCCGGTGTTTAAACGCACACCTCGGGAAATTCTTCAGAAAAAAGGGAGCGTGGGAGCAGTCATAGCTTCCGGAACTTATGGACCGGCGACGAGCGATGCGGTGAAACATCTGCAAAGCGCCGGCGGGAGAAACGTGGGGTTTTGTTAAACAGCATCGGCGGGAGCAGTTTCGACTACGGAGTCAACGGCGTTGATGCCTCTAGGTTCCGTGAAATTCGGTCTCAGAATAACCCATGGCAGTCCCCGGTTCTCGATTGTACCCACATGCTGGGGTCGGGTAATCGACGGAAACTGATGGTGACCGAGTGGGCGGCTATAGCACGTCCGAGGTTTTCGGAGGCGAACTGCAACTGCAACTGCGGATTTACGGGGTTAGATTCGAGCGACAATTTCGGAGTGATTACATGGAGACTTACAGGTTTTACGGCAAGGAGCGCCGACAATTTCGGAGGAACATTCGGCGTTCGGTTAAACGCGCGCGACATTTACGCAGGGCAACAGCGCGGGAACTACACGGATGTTTTCAGGGGTACGAACGACTTACGACGAACTGGAGGTGGCAGCAGCAACAGTGGAAGGGGGGAGAGACAGCTGTAATTTTTCATCTCTGCCCAGGAGCCCTCGGCGCATTACGACAAAGGGTTCGGCGAGTCTGGACAAACCCGCCGGAGGTGGTGACGTCATTCGACACGGATACAGCATTCGGCAACTTCGACCAGAGTGATTTTCGTTACGGTTACTACTTTGACGACCTTTGCCATCTCTCGATATCACGTTCGCTGCCAATCGCCTTCGATCGCCGACTTCGACGACACTCGTAACATTCCCGATTTTACGGCCAGAGGATTTCAGGATACTACCATTCCAACTCTACTAGCGACAAACCCATCCACCCGACCAGCCCACGACAACTGCATTTATTTCTGACCACGTCAGGTGTTGCCAGCTGCAACTGCTGAAGATACTGCAGGATTCTTGAGAAGAAGTGAACGAGAATGAATGAACTAGGAATGAAGTGAGTACAAATATGAAACCCTAATTGGGTTGTACCCCCTATGGGATACCCCACTATAGCCGACACAACAGCATAAGCTATAATGTTCTGACACACCCCCATAGGCAAAGTGGGGGAGAACAAGGGGTCACAAGACCAGTCAAGCAAAGCAAAGCAAAGCTCGGGGTGGATCACAAAGTCACCACACATTCCGAGCACAAGTTCAAAGGCCAGAAGGCCAGTTCACATGCAAGATCACATATAGAGATATACAAGAGGCAAGCAAGCAAGAGCAAGAGTATATATAGGTGAAGGTACAAGCAAGGTCAAGAAGTGAGCAAGTGAGGCAATACAGGCACAAGACCCAGCTGCGTGCAGCAACGCTGATGATCACAAGGCGCAAGTGCCTTGGTGAAGACATCAGCAGTGTTGGCCTCAGAGGCCACGTACGCAAGTCGCAACTGTCCACGCTGCTGTAGCTCACGAGCAAGAAAGTAGCGGAGAGCAATGTGCTTTGTCCTGTGCTCCAGTCGCTGCTCTCGACACAAGGCCAGCATGGCCTTGTTGTCTACGTACAGGACTGGAGGAGAACGAGGCGGCTCTCCAAGGTCGGTCAACAGGTAGGTGAGCCAGCGAAGCTCCTGGGCAGCCATAGCCCCGGCGTAGATCTCAGCCTCACAACTGGAGCCGAGAACAGAAGACGAGTGGGTAGCCCGCCACGAAACAGAGCCGGAACCAAGGCTGAAGGTGTAACCCTGTGACGACCGCTGCGTAGCCAGGTCGTCAGCCCAAGAAGCGTCCGCGTGTCCAGTGAGGACCACTGGACTGCGCCCTCCAAGCACTAGCCCCATGCTTGACGTACTGCACAAGTAGCGCAACACCCTCTTCGTTGCAGCCATGTGCTCTGGTCGGTGTCTCCCAGGAGCAACATAGCGTGCGAGAATGCTAAGAGGGTATGCAAGGTCAGGTCGTGTGCAGGTCATCAGGTACATGAGGCAGCCAACAAGCTCTGCATACGGGCCACTCGACTCTACGGACTCATCCGAAGGCAGAGTTGAGAGCGAGTGGCGAGTAGGCAGAGGAGTGGCCTGAGGCGAGGAGTACGTGAAGCCGAAGCGCTGAAGGACCTGCTGCACCATGTGTGACTGAGTCAGGGTAATGGTGCGGCGTGCTCTGTCCCGGGTGATCTGCAAGCCAAGGTAGCTGCGCAGTTCACCCATGTCAGTGCACGTGTGTCTCTTCTGCAGCTCGGACTTCACGTAGGCGAGTCCAGCAGTGTCAGCTGTGGCAAAGACCAAGTCGTCAACGTACACGAGGATGTAGAACGGCGGCAGAGAGGTGTCGGTGCGCAGAAACAGCGACGGGTCGGCAGTTGAAGGAGCAAACCCAAGTGCCGCCAGTGTAGTCCTCAGTGTGTCGTGCCACTCACGTGGCGCCTGGCGGAGACCGTAGACTGGACGCCGGAGACTCCACTAGGTACCAGGAGGGAACGACCCAGTGAAGCCAGGTGGGCGGTGCAGCCAGATCTCCTCGTGCAGGCTGCCCTGCAAGAAAGCAGTGCTGAAGTCGAGAGAGTGCAGCTCGTAGTCACGGTGAGCAGCAACGTGCAGCAGTACCCGAAGAGTGGTCATCTTCGGGGTGGGGGAGAAGGTCTAAAAGTAGTCAACTCCCTGCCGCTAACTGAAGCCACAAGCCACGTAACGCGCCTTGAAGACAGGCGGAGAACCCGGCGGCCGCTTCACCCTGAAGATCCACATGCCACTGACTATGTTCGCCCCAGGAGGGGGGAACAGCGTCAACGTAGGTGCCTGTGGACTTCCAGGAAGCCATCTCTGCATCCATAGCTGCCTGCCACTGAGAGGAGTAGGGACCCTCTATCGCCTCCGTGTAAGAGCGCGGAGTTGGGATGTCTAGTGCATCCGGGTCTCCCTCAGGGGCTAGCAGTACAGACGCGAGATGAGGTGAAGCGGCGGCCAGACACTGGAACTCCTCCTGCCTGTCCTCAAGTACGTCCGTGCCAAGGGCACACTCACCCCCGACGGACGGAGGACAGACAGACTCAGACTCAGCGACAAGAATAGCAGCGTAGTCTAGACGACAGCGCGGCGCAAAGTCGACGAGCTCAGTGACAAGGGCAGACGCAGCAGAAGACTCGAAAGAAGGGTCAGTGACAGCAGTAGCAAGGAGACGCGTGACAGTAGGACTGGCAGCACGAAGAGAGTCCGACTCCGGGTCGGCAAGAGCAGGAAGAGAGGAAGCAGGAGGAGAAGGCAAAGGGGCACGCAGAGGAGCAGTGGACGGACGCAGAGACATCCGGTGCGTGCAAGGGACAGGAGGAGGACGCTGACGCGAACCGTGACCACTAGTGCGCGCAGTACAAACAGGCGACGCAGGACGAGACGCAGGCTCACGACGCTCAGTAAGACCTCCGGTCGGACCAGCGTAGGGAGAAGGAGCAGGCAAAGGGGAGGCAGGCTGTAGCTGTGACTGGACAGGCAGTGGACCCTCTAAGGGAGGAGAAGGAGGACCAGGAGAAGGTGTAAGACCAAGAACCTGCTGCAGGAGCGGAACGAAGTACGGTCGGGGCCGCGTGGCGACTCCAGAAACAGCAGGGACAGCACCAGTACCCCCAGCAGGAGTACCCGCTCCAGCAGTACCTCCAGCAGCACCTCCAGTAGCTCCAGAACCCCCAGCAACACCTCTAGAAGCCCCAGAACCCCCAGCAGTACGAGGAGCACTGCCAGCCGGACCGCCAGCGGTAGTCTCAGCGCCAACACCCTCAGCAGTACCAGCTCCAGAAGAACCCTAAGGCCCAGCAGCTCCAGTACCCCCAGTACGAGTACCTCCGGGACGCACGGCAGCAGCACCCTCTGCAGCCGAAGAACCTCCAGCACCAGCAGCACGCCTCCAGCGCCGGGCAAACCACTCACGCAGCTCCTGTGGGGAGAGTGGCTCTCGGCGAGACGAAGCACCTCCAGGCGGAGAACCTCTAGGCGAAGAACCTCCAGGCTCAGCACCCTCAGGCAAAGCACCTCCAGGTGGAGCACCCCCAGTCTCAGCACCCCCAGGCTCAGCACCCCCAGGCCCAGCACCCCCAGGCTCAGCACCCCCAGACTCAGCACCCCCAGGCTCAGCACCCCCAGACTCCGCACCCCCAGGCTCAGCACCCCCAGGCGTAGCACCTCCAGTCCCAGCACCCCCAGGCTCACCTCCCGCAGCAGCACCAAAGTCACCAGTGACCTCGACAGGCTCGACCGCGTCTACCTGGGACACACCTGAAGGGGCAGGACCCTGAGGGGGGAGGGGGTCTACCGGGGGGGGACCTGGTACCAAGAAGAGCGGGGGCGGGGGAAGGGACGGAGTGCGGTAGGGGAAGAGGCGGTAGTAGTGTACCAACTCGTCGAACGTGACGTCCTGGGAGGACAGAACACGTCGAGAGGTGGGGTGGTAGAACTGCCACCCAGGGGCGTCGGGGGGGAACCTTAGGAAGACGCAGGGAGCAGCGCGAGGGGACAGCTTGTCCGCAGACAAGTCGCGGACAAACGCCCGAGATCCCCAGACCCGGAACGCCGACGCATCGCCAACCTTCCCCGTCCACAGCAGGGCTGGGGAGGTCTCCGGCCTGGAGACCCTGGGGTGGAGGTTGATATGATGCGCCGCGTACCTGACCGCAAACGGCCACAGAAAATGGGGGGCAGCCGCATGCATCATAGACGTACGAGCGACGTCCATGACCATGCCAATGCGGCGCTCTGCAATCCCATTTTGCTGCGGTGAGTCCGGAAGCGTGAAGGTCTGGCGGATGCCTCGCGCACGACAGTAGGCACGCAGAAGGCCAGAGGAGAACTCTCCGCCTCTGTCCGAGTGCAGACGCAACACAGGAAAGTCCGAGCCAAAGCTCTGCCTGAGCTGGAGACGAGCTGCGCGGATCCAGTCGATCAGCACCTCAGTGACATCACCCTTGCTGCGCAAGGGGAAGACTGTGGTGTAACGCGAGTAGTCGTCAACCACCAACAGGAAGTAGCGCTCGTGACCGAGTCCACGGACGCGGGCAGGGCCCCACACGTCCATGTGAAGCGTCTGCAACGGAGCCTCTGTCGGAGGAAACTGGGAGGAGTGGGGGGCGGCACGCTGGCGCCCCTCGATACAGGGGACACAGGCAGGGCCAGGGCCCTGAGGAAGGGGAGGGAGGGACTGGGGGAGACCAGACACAAGAAGACGGGAGGCCATGCCTCTGAGCCGAAGCAGAGAGGGGTGGCCAAGGCGGTGGTGCAAGAGGAGGGTCTCGTGAGACAGACGGCGTCACGAACAGGGGGCAGACTCAGGACCAGACCTGGACGCTGCAGCAAACACCTGACCAGACGAAGGGACCCTACCAGACTCAGCACCTGGAGGAGAAGCAGTGGTCAGAGTGTACAGGCTCGACCCTGGCTGACGTGTAAACGTAGCCAGGTGGCGACCTGTGCTAGCCTCTGTGCAGTGTGTCACCCGCTGACGACCAGGAGTGAACTGGTGGACACCCGCATCCTGTAGGTCAGCACCACTCACCAGGTTCGTAGAGAACGAGGGGAGGTAGAGACCAGACAGGTTGCCAGAGGGAGCCGCCGGACACGGGAGGACTGTGGAGAAACGAGACAGGACAGGACCCCCAGAGGGGTCAGCCAGGGACACCGCAACCGGCCGACTAAGCGGCGTGAGAGTGGTGCGGTCCCGAAAGAAGGAGCGAGACGCCCCAGAGTCCAGGGTGAAGGTGTGAGAGGCCGAAGCCGACACAGTACCTGAGAGTGCAGACTCACCAGTACCTGAGAGTACAGACGCACTGGCACCTAGAGCAGTAGTACCAATGCCCTGGTCGGGCGGGAAACACCGGTAACAGTCACCCTCATCACTAACAGTCACAGCATACATGGCAGCAAGGATAGCATCAAAGTCAAGATCAAAAATAGCTACACCAGCCCTAGACAGCTCTCCCCAGCGGGGGATCTCAGAGGCCTCCGGAAAGTGCTGGCGCCAAGCGTCGGTCAGGCGGCTAAAGCAGCGGCGGGCGGCGTGGGCGCACCCACACTGCTCACCCGCGCGGTCGCCGGTGCGAAGGACGTAGGTGCAGGGACCAAACGCCCCACCACGCTGACGCTGCGAGTACCACTCACGGAGCTGCTGAGGGGCGGGGACGTCGCGAGAGCGCTGCTGCTGCTGCTGCTGCTGCTGCTGGTGCTGCTGGCGCTGACCACCCCCAGTGCTGCTCCGCTGGGACGAGCCACTCCGACCACCTCCACCACCGCCACCCCCGCCTCCGCCGCCACCGCCGCCGCCGCCACCGCCACCCTCGCCCCCGGCGCTCCCACCGCCACCTCCACCGCCACCTCCGCCGCCACCTCCGCCTCCACTGCCGCCACTAGTACCTCCACCCCCGCCACCACCTCCACCGCCACCCCCACTCCCCCCGCCGCCCCCACCTCCTCCGCCACCGCCCCCGCTAGCTCCACCCGCTCCCTTGCCCCCCTTGCCCTTGCGAGAGCGGCGCCTACCGCTGGGGGCAGACGCCGCACCGACCGACTCTAGACCAACGAGGTCGGCCGCAGCAGTAGAGGCGACAGAGGGTAACAGGGGGGAAGGAGAACACCCCTCAAAGATGGGGGTGCGGGGGTCACCACGAGAGGCCCCTACAGCGACTATGCTCTTCTCGGCCGCTAGCAGGGACTTCTCGAGGAGGTCGACAGTGAGGGTGGTGGGACAGACAGAGAGAAACTGGTCCCTAACAGCACGAAGGGACTCAGGGAGACGGGTGACTAGAAAGTAGAGGGTGATGTACATGGGAGGGGGGTTTTCGGCGCAGAAGGCAGCAGGAAGCGCAGCTCGGTAGCGAGAGGCCTGAACGGGCAGCGCGCGGGCGGCAAAAGGCCGGTCGACAGAGTAAGAGAGAGCCCGGAGTGCGCTCCGGGCAGAAAAAAAAAGTTTGAAGTAGTGGTGGGCTCTAAGCACAGTTCCCAGAGGGGAACCTGCTCGATACCATGAGAAGAAGTGAACGAGAATGAATGAACTAGGAATGAAGTGAGTACAAATATGAAACCCTAATTGGGTTGTACCCCCTATGGGATACCCCACTATAGCCTACACAACAACATAAGCTATAATGTTCTGACAATTATGGCGTGTGAAGACAAAAACAGCAACGCATAATTTCTGCCGCGGTTTCTGGTCTACTCACGCGGGTTCGCCCTTGAAGACCTTTTGGGGCACGTAAACCTGGGTTCGTCATCGACATCTCCACACCGACCACATATCGCCTGGACTTTTACATCCGACGCTCTTATTCGTGGGACTTAACGCCTGGCTTTTTGTTGGTTTTCATCTCGGCGCAGCAGTGAAACATTTTCTGGTGTCTTTTCTTGGAGGGGGGGAGAAGTGCGCTGCACTGCTCTTTCCTTGGTGTTTTCTCGAGTTTCTTCTTGACTTTGTCAGGTTGCGTCAGCACGATCGCGATCACACCGACACGATCGACGGTTTCTGCAACATCGCGATTGAATTTCGCGTCAGTCTGTTCCCTCCAAAATCGCATCTGCCTCGACCGTCAGATTCGCACTTACTCGATCATCGGCCCACATTCCAACCTCTACTTCATATTGGGCCAGTTCATCTTCGACCGTCAGATCGAAATCGTACTTCATCAACGGCCTACATTCCAACCTTTTCAAAAAGAATTCAGCCGTCGGATTCAGCTGAAGGGGAGATCTACGACATCCTTGCTAGTGTGGGGCCTGTTTTCAGTACAGAGCTGCCTTATTTAGAAGGTGGGAGAGTGTAAGGATTTACAAATCCTTACTGAGACACTCGTTAGCGAGGCCATCCCGAGGGTCACGCGACGAACCTGACCTTTTTATTTCGTCGCACCGAACCACTCCCGAGTCGGCCTCCGCTCCAATCGCAACCATCACCGAGCCATCCTCGCCCAACCTCCCCGCCTAGCTAGCTTGTCCCCTATTTAGACCTCGTTACTTCATTGTTCATTCAGACATTCTGTAATTCTCATTCTCGATATTCGATATACTGCGCACTCTGCAAGTTCATTCATAACATATACAGTAGAGAGTTACAAGCGTGAAATAGGGTAACAAACATGAACATGAACTGTAAACGAACTCGTTGGACACGCCCTAAGGACGCACATAATTATTCACCAGCAACACATCGTATGGGAACGGTGACGTTTCCAGCCAACTGGACTCCTAAGCACACCAATGGAGCATCGGGACATGGGTGAGCTTTATCTGATGCATTAGTGAAATACTTACGCTGGTTAGCGGTTATGCATCAGTCTTCTACTTGAAAGAAAAGAGCGTAGTGAAGGGCTTTGTCATGACGCATATAAGCACAGCCCCCGCTATAAGCGCAATCTCCACAACAATCACCACGCCGACGGCGACACCACGCGAGCTCTCCGGGGTCGCCGACACGATGAGCGACGCGACGGACGCGAGGATGATGGCGGCGATGATTAACACAATGGAGGCGATCAACCAGTACGTGCGACGCGTGTTGCGCTGAATCTTCACGCCTTTCTCGAGATCTTTGTTCCCGTCCATGACATGAGACACCGCATCCCCCACGTGAGCCTCGATTTGATTCAGATACTCTCCCTGCGCCTCCACCATAACCGCCATATCCATAAACATTTCCTGCAGCTCCACCATTTCCTTGGTAACCTGTAACACGACGTCCATCTTTTCGTCAATGTCCACGACGGCGTCTCGCAGCTGGTCTTCTTTAATGTTCGCCTCGCGGCCTTGCATCTGCACAGCCCTTTTCAGCACATCCTCGCTCTGCCCGTGCTCAAGAATCTCATCCAGCATCTCGTCAGTCGCCGGTTTCCCCGTCACCATGAACAAATGCCGCTGTAATTTCTTCCGGCTTTCGTTCTTAATCTCCCCTTCGACCACCAGCACTAGCTGGTGAAGCCCGCGCAGGCGCTCCGCTAATCCAACGGTAATAGTCGTCCGGTGGCGATCCTCCGCGGTTCCCGGGCCGCTTCCGGGCCGCATGCGATTCGCTTCGTTGTTCCGCTTCAACTCCTCCAGCATCTTTTTTATCTTCCTCGTGCGATTCTTGGCCTGCGCGGACGACCGCGCCGCGTCTTTCCGAAGCTCCTCGAGCTTCTCCGCGCGCGCCTCCTGTAACGTCAGGTTGTGCGCGTTACGCACCTCTCTGACGTCATTGTTCGCCTTATTGATCTCCTCCTCAATCGCCGCCACCTCCGCGTTGAACGCCGTGAAATCCGGGCCTGCCGGCGCGATACTTGATGCTCCTGCTCTTCCAGAAGCCCCCGGATTGGATGGAGGCGCGAAGCTTCGAGACACGTCCCATGTCTGGGTCCACAGATTGTTCATGGTGGCTTTTTGCTCGGCCCTCTGCCAGAGGGTTTAGGTGGTCAGTCGGTGAGCTCGTTAGCTAGTTGGATTTGACTAGGTGGGAGCAACCGTTCCGTGGAAGGGGTTGCGGTTATTTGAACTAGCTGGTACTCTGTCGGCGCCGAATGCGCGGCTTTCTGGCTGCTGCGCGACAGGCGTTTAGGGGATGTTTCCTCAGCGGCTATAGATTGATTGGACAAGGAAGCAGGGGAGCAGGGCAGTTGTAACTCTATGTACTAGTCAGGAAGAGTTGGGAATTGCTTGTGCAAAGAAAATCTTCAGGGGTCAGCAGAGTCTTGCACGGAGTTTTTGCTTGAACGGCGATACATCACTCTGCAGCGCGTCGGTAGTAGTGAATAAGGGAAGCGCGACGATTGAGTGCAGCAGGATGGTACTTCAGGACTTCGCTGCGACTAATTCTTGGAATTTGTACGAGAGTGTGGGGGAGACGTCGCAGTCGCGTGACGAAAGACTATGCACAATGGGCTCGGTTCAGTCAAAGGTAGCAGTTGCGGATCACTCGACTCTCGTTTCGTAGCAATTTAATCGACATGGAAATGAATGAGGTGCGAGGGGAGGGAGGGAGGACCGTGTGCCAATCGTCAAAGAAATGTCCACTCGTTTGATCGTGTTCGTTGTTTGTGAAGAACGCGAAGCTGGTCTGATGAGAAATGGCTGTGGGATGTGAGGGAGGGAGTGGGGGAGTCCAGTACATGTATGGGGAGGGGAGGGGGTGGAAATCGCGGTACGAACTCGATATCGTCGAAATTGTGGTCGACGTCTTTCCGAGTCGCGACGCAGGAGTTTTCTGGGTAGCTTGTTTTGGACGCCAAGGTCGGTTGGGCAGAATAAATTTCATGAGCTCGGGTAGAAAGTTGGACTCGGGCAGGAGGGAGACAAATCAAAGGGTGTTGTGCAGCTTGTGCCGCACGGCACGCTTCCACACCAAGAGTTTTGCGTGCTTGTGCTGCGCTGCACACCGTCGTCGCCGCCATCCGTCCGAAAGTTTGTGCGTTCCCCCCAGCTTCCATTAAAACCATCTACGAACGAAATGAACGACGTCAGGTGAAGGAAGAGGAGTCCAGCGTGCCCACAATTATTGGCCGTGTTTTGTTGCCGCGTACCAGGTTGTGTAGCATCAATGAAGGTCAATCGCCCGTGGATGCCCGTCAAACCTCCCGATATATACAAAATGACTCGGCCCAACTTGTCAACCCATACCTGAGCTGTTACCAGATTTGCCCTGGGGGGGCTCCAAGAAACCCACGGAAGTCCACAAAGGCGTGCAGCAATTTGAGTTGACCCGTGTAAGGATTTACAAATCCTTACTGAGGCACTCGTTATCGAGGACATCCCGAGGGTCACGCGACGAACCTGTCCTTCCTATTTCGTCGCACCGAACCACTCCCGAGTCGCCTCCGCTCCAATCGCAACCATCACCGAGCCATCCTCGCCCAACCTCTCCGCCTAGCTAGGACTTCCCCTAGTTAGTCGTGCCTTTCTCATTGTATCGTCATTCAGTAATTCGGTAATCAGTTCATTCTCGTTATTCGATATTCTGCGCACCCTGCAAGTTCATTCATAACACCTGGTATCAGAGCTACTTTCATAGCCTACCCCGTTTTTTAGAGTGTAGTATTCCTCGGGGGGGGGGGGGGGGGGGGGGGACGAGGAAGGATGTCTTGGGGTCCACGAGTTGCGTAGGCCGGCCAGGAGAACGAGTTAGTTGCTCCTCGCGGCCATGGTTTTACGGGTACTCCTTCGGCACCGCCAGATCCTTGTCTCGAACGGTCGCGATCGACCGTGGCCTCCCTCCCCACGGGCAACGGGCAGCTGTAGCTGTCGCGACGTTAATGTGAGTAAATTTCCGCTGCGATTTACCGACGATTTCGGAGGTTTATTCGTGTGGCAGCTGGCGTCAGCGGACCTGCGTCGGCATCTGCATGAACAGCCTCGACGTCGTCACTGTGTGTGGCTGTTGACGCCGGCGGACCTGAGTCAACAGTTTCGCGAAGATTTCGGAAAGATATTCGGCAGCTGGCGACAAAGGGCCTGCGTCAGCAAGGGCGACATTTTCGGTGCTTCTGTTGAAGAAACGTCGGCTGGGGAACTCGCCAGGCGCAAATGGAGTTTTGCGTTCGAAAATATCGGTGGACGAGGAGAGACGACACGCGAATTGCCCGAATTGTGCGGGGTCAACTGTCGTCCCGCTCGACCTGAAGTGCAGCGGCTTTTACTACATGGCGGGCGCGTCATCGAGTATTTCGGCAGAAGTGCACGTGGACAGACGGGAACTTCAGACCCGCCGACACTTACGGGTTGCAACAGAAAACGGAGTGGCTAAATCGCACTCAGGAGGAGTGGGACGCAGGCGGCGAGGGCAATTCGGGGCCATACACCCCGAAGAATACTCGGATGGCGCTACGTGCCTGGTACTGTTGACTGTTGGCCGACAATTTCGAGAGTGGATTCCCTGTAAGGAAGTCATTTTCGGGGACAGCCTCAACAGCCCACGATTAAACGGTGTTCAAGGTACCACGCCGACAGTTAAGGAGGAGAGTGGTACAGGCCGCCGGGACACACGAGAAGAAACTGCCCGACGGCTAAGCGGGGGTTGAAGAACGGCGTGAAGGGCAGGTTAAAAGCCAGTGTGAACGATCTGTGACCTTCCGTCGCCCGAACCTCACCATCCCCACCAAGTTTTAGTTCTGACTCATGCAGTCAACTACTTGGCCGAATACAGGGGTGAACACGGGCCTACCCTGCGCTGGTTAAAGGCACATGGGTTGGTGCTCGTTCAACAGCTGTACAGAAAAAAACAAAAAAAAGGTGGAGTTGCGGCACTCTTCTACTCCGACAAAAGCGGACTGGGTGAAACAGCACGCGAAAAAATCGGGGCGCCGCACGACAACAATGGTGCAGTTCGCTGGTTTCTCCTGACCCGGGCGTCTACACGGGGTGACGGCACAGCGGCGGAACAGGAACCGGGAGCTGTGCAGTTTTAGTGGCGCGACGGCACGGTGGGCTGCAAAGCGGTTGGGAATGATTTCCTTTTAACTAAGGTAACCCGACTCTGATATACTTTTCTTCTACAACCTCATTCTCAATCTTCTCACCGGCGGAAGCAGTGGCTACAGTGTTTGGACGTAGCGGGCTTATGAGATAACTCGGTTGCGGGCCAAGTCGCACGAGGCGACGAAACCAGACTTGCGCCGTAAAATTCTGTTAACGCTGAATAACTGTCTTAACCGTTTAGAAAACAACATTACCATTTTAGAACGTATAGAACCTTGACTAAACGCCCTTGGTCAAACTAACAGTATAACGCATGTGATAGGACCTTCTTTGGTCCGCTGCGGCTACACTAAGCGTCCCGGTAAGTATAATATATGCCAGTCTAACGAGAATGAGGGTGTACACCGTGGCTGGGTTCGTGCGGGCAACACCGACTATACCTCATCCGAAAAATGCGGACGCTGGGTGAACGGCGGGAAGCGGAGTTGTCGGGGGGTGAAACGACCAAAAAAATATGAAGCTGCGGGTATTTCTTCGCTTCCGGGAGTGCGGTAGAGTCGTTGGGGGACTTCGCCTGAAGGGCACTTTTCGAAGTTGCCTGACAAGAAACACAACGGCAAGGATACCTCGGACCCCCGGTGTTTAAACGCACACCTCGGGAAATTCTTCAGAAAAAGGGGAGCGTGGGAGCAGTCGTAGCTTCGGGATCTATCGACCGACGACGAGCGATGTGGTGAAACATCTGCAAAGCGCTGGTGGGAGAAACAGGAATGTTTGTTAAGCGACATCGACGGGAGCAGTTTTGACGACGGAGTCAACGGCGTTGATGCCTCTAGGTTCCGTGAAATTCGGTCTCGAAATAGCCCAGGGCAGTCCCCGGTTCTCGATTGAACCCACATGCTGGGGTCGGGTAACCGACGGAAACTGATGGTGACCGAGTGGGCGGCTATAGCACGTCCGAGATTTTCGGAGGCGAACTGCAATTGCAACTGCGGATTTACGGGGTCTGTTTCGAGCGACAGTTTCGGAGTGTTTACGTGGGAACTTACCGGTTTTAATGGCGCCGTCCGGATGGCGCTTGACGAAGCTGCAGGGGCAGGTCAGACGCTTACCCCATGTACCACAACGTAGCGCATTGTACCGCACCGCACCACACCGTACCGTACCATCGAGTGCGAGGATGGAGGGCACGGAGCCATAGTTGAAGGGGCTGGCACGCAGCCAACGTAGCCAATTGCGCCGTCCGGGTGGCGCTTGACGAAGCTGCCCTTGGGCACCTCCACCACCACCTGCACGAAGCGCGGCACGAAGATCTGCAATGCTAAAGTGCTCGGCACTGTTTCTTTCCTTGGCGTTTTCTCGGCTTTCTTCTTGACCTTTGTCAGGTTGCGTCAGCACGACGGACGATCGCGATTACACCGACAAGATCGACGGCTCCAGATTGATCGCGATTGAATTTCGCGTCAGTCTGTTCCCTCCAAAATCGCATCTGCATCGACCGTCAGATTCGCACTTACTTGATCAACGACCCACATTCCAAATTCTACTTCAATTTGGGTCGGTTCATCGTCGACCGTCAGATTGAAGTTGGACTTCATCAACGGCCTACATTCCAACCTTTTCAAAATTTTGTCAAAGACATTTCAGCCGTCGTATTCAGCTGAAGAGGAGATCGACGACATCCTTGCTAGTATGGGGTCTGTTTTCAGTACAAGACTGCCTTATTTAGAAGGTGGGAGAGTGTAAGGATTTACAAATCCTTAATGAGGCACTCGTCATCGAGGCCATCCCGAGGGTCACGCGACGAACCTGTCCTTCCTATTTCGTCGCACCGAACCACTCCCGAGTCGCCTCCGCTCCAAACGGAACCATCACCGAGCCATCCTCGCCCAACCTCTCCGCTTAGCTAGGACTTCCCCTATTAAGTCGTGCCTTTCTCATTGTATCGTCATTCAGTAATTCGG